AGTTTGAGAAGAGTTCGTAAATCAGTTCTAATAAGCTATTTTCTCAGGAGGTATGTCTATCAGCAATGTTTCGGACAAGTTCATAAATCAGTGCAGGACACTTATGTTCTCAGTAGTTACGTCCCTTGGAACTTGTATTGATTATTAGCGCTCTCGAATGTACAATTCGTGCTGGAGTTTTATGAAATGTTTATCAAAGTTTTATATCAGTAATGTCTGGGATCAGTTCGAAAATCAGCTCTGATCAATTATTTATATGGAGTTATTCCCCTTGGAAATATAAATCATATGGAAAACTGCATTGTAAGCATTCTAACTACTACATTTCTTGCAGAATAGTTATAAAATTTGCATGAAAGATTTATATTAGCAATGTCTGGGATCAGTTCGAAAATCAGCGCTGATCAATCATTTTTACAGGAGGTTTGACCATTTGAAATGTAATTGATATGAAGCATAGCATTGGAAGCACCCTCATGCCAACATTTCTTGTCGGATTTTTATGAAATGTATATCAAAGATTTATACCAGCAAGAATTATGAACAGTCACGACCAATTATTTTACACGAGTTATGCCCTGGAAATAGAGATTGTATGGAAAAAACAATGTTAGCAATAGCATGTCTATATGAAAAAGTAAAATAACAAAAATACCGAACTCGAATAAAAATTCAAAACGGAAAGTCCCTTATCAAATGGCAAAATCAAAAGCTCAAACACATGAAACTAATGGAAAACAAATGTCATATTCCGAATTGCGACAGGCATTTCCGTATGTCGAAAATGGTGGATTAAACCTGGCTTTATAGCTAGCTTAACCTCTCACTTGTATGACCGTCGCATAGAAGTCCATTATATTAACAACAAAGTGTGAGCAAAAAACACAGCTTCTTAATCACAATAAAAACAAACAACTATGCCAGCAAAGAAAAACCGAAAGTTTAAAAGACCCAAAATATATTTTTTTAATTATTGCCCTTGAGCAGATAAAATGTGTGCAATAGCAGGTGAATTCTACTATTTAATTGATAAAAATCAAAAGGGTCACCGAACTCGCTTGTTTTGAATTTCTTAATTAAAGGATACGGGATTCTACGGTTAAAGGGATTCATAGTATCTTCAATTCTTTTTTTGGAATATAGAGCAGTTCAAAGTATTTCCTGTTATGTCCTATTTCATGGGATAAAGGATGCAGAGCACACCCCTCCACCAACAAGGCTAAGATGCAACTTTTATACTGATTTTTAGAAGAACGTCTAAATAAAGATGCTAGACGAGTCTATGTAATTCCATAACCTGGTCTATCATTTTTTGGAATATACCCAGAAGGATGCTTTTAAAGAATTTCTATCAACGCCTAGGTTCAGTTATTTAATCGAATCTTCATTTGTTTTACAGTAATATCTGGAAATTTCAAAAGGAAATCAAAATTTATAATCTGCATATATTCGACAGTTTTAGAAAAAAGTAGTAAATTCAAACTACATTTTGTAATTAAGGATATTAATTTTTCCATACAGCTGTGTTCCTCTATCAGCCAAAAAAAAAAGTTGTTTTGTTTTACTTTCGTTTGTTTTTGGTAGATTTTAATTATAATTGCTTACATCTACTTCATTTGAACTTTGGTGGATTGTTGTCTCATTGGCTATCATACCACATCTCCTTATTACATAATCCGAATCTAAATTATAACATAAAGTTTTCTCTGAATACTTCTGTGGATAACCGGTGTGTAAAGACTATACATCCTTCAAGTTTCCGAATGACATGAGTTACTTCAGCTTGCATTTTGCTTTCGCAAGTTTTTTCACGTGATTGAATCGAACCTATGAAGGAGTAACACAGATTGGAATAGTCCTGCATGTCCAGGAATTAGTTTAAGAGTAAAGAGGTGGTTTTGAAACGTGTGGTACATTTTGGTATAATTTTTTTTTATATTTTGTTTTATTTTATGAAAGGTTTACGTAGGCAATTATATCCTTTTGGCTTATTTTAGTTAAGGATGTCGATAGTATACCACAAACTGATTGTCAGCATACAACTATTCATGCTAACGTTAATATATGATAGAAATTACGAAATACCAAAAACAAATAATTGAAAATACAATAATTGAAAAATACATACCCGCTAACCTAGACAATGTGATATAACTAAATCAAGTGTTCTTCAGCTTTCATGCTGTCAGTCTGATGCGATATTAGATGTAATTATCCAGAGCAACAGTCAGACAATATCTTAATAGATGTCTATAAATTGAGACAATGTGAGAATTCGATTTCAGGTAAGTGGCAATAGTCACTTCCTTTGTCCTTATGGTAAACTTGGATTGATATGGCAGCTTGTTTTGCAGTTTAGATATTTTGACATATGTGGTTCAACTGTTAAGGTACCATATGTACGGTTCATTTTTTTTTTTTGCAATTTAGAGAATCACGAAGAGGTCTTTGTGAAACGTTTTCTCGGAGTAAAATATCCAATTTTTCCACAATGAAATTCTTTTAAGATTCGATTCTTTGCAAACATTTGCAAACAAATCTTTCTAATTTTGGGGTCCTCAATGCTCTTCAATCCTGTACTATATTTGGCTTTTTAAACTTATTTTAGTTTCAAGCGTCCCTGATTAGTCGTTTGTCTACAAAATAAAACTCGTCTGGCGTACACAATTTTAAGCCTTGTATCAATGATGAGTTTATTTACAACCACTGGGTCGATGATATTGCTGGTGGATTTTTCCTCCACGAGGGTATAACCAGCCTAGTAGGTAGCACTTTTGTGCTTACATATATTATCATTGATATGGGCATTATTATAAATTAACTATTATAAACTATTCTACCCCAGGAATAGATTACTCTAGCTGGCTGCATTTGGCAAAACCTTCCTGAATTTTGTGTTCTCAATGCTTTTCAAATTCATAATTTATTTGGCCTTTTTAACTTTTGGTGTTTCTGAGCATCACTGATGAGTCTTTTGTTGACGAAATTTTTCGAGCGTCTGGCTGCGTACAACATTTTTAACCTGGTATCTATGATGAGTTTATTTACTAAAGTTTAGTCATTATTTTAAAAAGCAAAATTTACATAATTTTCAATATCATAGCGGAGAGGTGTAATTATTTTCAGATGATATTTGTGTTCCTCACATTGATGCCTATTAAATATAAAAAAAATGTGTTTTTATGTTTTGTATATTGATTTGTATAACAGTAAATAAAGAAGATTAGTACTTGTCATTTAAAAAAAAAGTACAAATTCTCCGGGAAGTACTAATTTTATAAATTTCCCGTTGTACAAATCACAAAACAAAAGATAAAACTTAAAATTTGCGGTGGTACAGATGAACACAGTTCTTATCTGAATATTTTGACGGCTTTTTTTTTAAAAAATTTTAGGCGAGTTTTTTGTAGACAAACGACTAATCAGGGACGCTTAAATCTAAAATAAGTTTAAATGTATTTGACATTTGAATCATTCAAGCGCATTTTTTGGTCACAGTCTAGTACTAAGTATGTATTGTTCGATCTTCACGTTTCTTATTTTTTTTTTTGAGTACTATGTTTGTAATTAAGTCGTTTTTCCTTTCGTATTGTGATGTCTCTTTTTCAGCGGCTCAAGCTGATTGATATTTTTGCTCCCTTTTAAGCCGTCCACATAATTTGACATCCAACGATTCGAAGTATAGATACACGAGAAGCTAATCTTATATCATTGCACGTCTTACACCTAAGTTCATAAAATATTCAAAGATCAGGAACACGAGAAGTAAATCATTACTCATTTCATGTCTTACAGCTGAACTAACTTTTTATATATATTTTTTTTGCACAACAAATAAATATATCTTTCACTTAAATCAAATGCAAATATTTTACTATTGTATTTCTATTTGCTGTTGAATATGCTAGTAAACAACCGAGAAAAGAATGAAACAAATTCTTAAAAAAAAACTTCTAGCTCATTTCAATAGTTCATAATTTAAAAAAGAATGTTCAATATATTGTTTAAGCTGGCTCACTTGATCTGCTTGTGTTCTAGAATGGAATGGATAATATTTGTATTGAAATTCACGCAGGTGAAAGAAGTTGTGATTTATACGACCCTTGTCCAACCAAACTTTCGTACAAATTATCATGTCTTCTGTGTAGCAATGTAAAATAAATATTATGATAATAAAACATTTGTTAAAATATATACGTTAAATGCCATAATGAAATTTAATGATATTTTTATACTGGTATCAAAATAAATATACTTGTTCATATCCATATGAAGCATGGGTTCCTTCTCCTTCTTGAAAAAAAACCACAATATGTGTATGGTAATATCTTTTGAAATAGGGTTTTGTTTTATTTATAGCCAGATAGAATGCAAAACAAATCATTGTCGAACTCATATCATATTGTGCATATATACATTAGTTTCAATTGATATTACGGACGTGTTGACGTGTTGCTAAATACTTAATAAAAACGTATGTTATTGGCGTAGACTATAACAATGGGCAATAATGAACTAATATTGTTATTGGTACACCTTATTGTAGCTAATTGGATACTTAAATTCCTGTTTCGCCAGCTGATTCTGATCGTACAAAAGTCTAGTGATGCAATTTGAAACACAAATACGAAGATAATATGTGAACTGGGCAATTATAAGGCCATTGTCAATGTCATGGTCATGGTCACAGTTTATGAGATAAGTATTAAATATAGCAGTTCTGTTTTTGACAGATGTTTGAAATTAAACTAAATGTATATTAAATATTGCTACAATAGTATTTATTTTGTTCTTTATGGTTTCTTGCTGAATAATAGCAAGTAACATCAGGTGATTAGGATAACCTATAGTCTTGCTTTGTCAAAATAAGTGGATAACATATCACCATAAGTAAAGGTAATAACTCAACCATTTACCGTACTGTTTCATACTTTATCACTATTAGCAAATAGCAGCGATTTATACTTAATATCAGTAAAAATAAAAACAGACAAAGTAACTTACTCTATAAAACCTGAATATAAGATATAAAAACACTTAACATATGTGAACAAGCACATCAAAATCAAAATATCATATCAAAGAATCCTTGAAATTGTTCAAAGAAACTTCTAAATTCTTAAGCCGGCTTTTTAAAATTTTAATCCTGGTATCTAGGATGAGTTCTCAATGCTTTTCAAATTCATAATTTATTTGGCCTTTTTAACTTTTGGTGTTTCTGAGCATCACTGATGAGTCTTTTGTTGACGAAATTTTTCGAGCGTCTGGCTGCGTACAACATTTTTAACCTGGTATCTATGATGAGTTTATTTACTAAAGTTTAGTCATTATTTTAAAAAGCAAAATTTACATAATTTTCAATATCATAGCGGAGAGGTATAATTATTTTCAGATGATATTTGTGTTCCTCACATTGATGCCTATTAAATATAAAAAAAATGTGTTTTTATGTTTTTTATATTGATTTGTATAACAGTAAATAAAGAAGATTAGTACTTGTCATTTAAAAAAAAGTACAAATTCTCCGGGAAGTACTAATTTTATAAATTTCCCGTTGTACAAATCACAAAACAAAAGATAAAACTTAAAATTTGCGGTGGTACAGATGAACACAGTACTTATCTGAATATTTTGACGGCTTTTTTAAAAAAAAAATGTTAGGCGAGTTTTTTGTAGACAAACGACTAATCAGGGACGCTTAAATCTAAAATAAGTTTAAATGTATTTGACATTTGAATCATTCAAGCGCATTTTTTGGTCACAGTCTAGTACTAAGTATGTATTGTTCGATCTTCACGTTTCTTTTTTTTTTTTTTTGAGCACTATGTTTGTAATTAAGTCGTTTTTCCTTTCGTATTGTGATGTCTCTTTTTCTGCGGCTCAAGCTGTTTGATATTTTTGCTCCCTTTTAAGCCGGCCACATAATTTGACATCCAAAGATTCGAAGTATAGATACGAGAGAAGCTAATCTTATATCATTGCACGTCTTACACCTAAGTTCATAAAATATTCAAAGATCAGGAACAAGAGAAGTAAATCATTACTCATTTCACGTCTTACAGCTGAACTAACTTTTTATATATATTTTTTTTGCACAACAAATAAATATATCTTTCACTTAAATCAAATGCAAATATTTTACTATTTTATTTCTATTTGCTTTTGAATATGCTAGTAAACAACCGAGAAAAGAATGAACAAAATTCTTAAAAAAAAACTTCTAGCTCATTTCAATAGTTCATAATTTAAAAAAGAATGTTCAATATATTGTTTAAGCTGGCTCACTAGATCTGCTTGTGTTCGAGAATGGAATGGATAATATTTGTATTGAAATTCACGCAGGTGAAAGAAGTTGTGATTTATACGACCCTTGTCCAACCAAACTTTCGTACAAATTATCATGTCTTCTGTGTAGCAATGTAAAATAAATATTATGATAATAAAACATTTGTTAAAATATATACGTTAAATGCCATAATGAAATTTAATGATATTATTATACTGGTATCAAAATAAATATACTTGTCCATATCCATATGAAGCATGGGTTCCTTCCTTCTTGAAAAAAAAAACACAATATGTGTATGGTAATATCTTTTGAAATAGGGTTTTGTTTTATTTATAGCCAGATAGAATGCAAAACAAATCATTGTCGAACTCATATCATATTGTGCATATATACATTAGTTTCAATTGATATTACGGACGTGTTGACGTGTTGCTAAATACTTAATAAAAACGTATGTTATTGGCGTAGACTATAACAATGGGCAATAATGAACTAATATTGTTATTGGTACACATTATTGTAGCTAATTGGATACTTAAATTCCTGTTTCGCCAGCTGATTCTGATCGTACAAAAGTCTAGTGATGCAATTTGAAACACAAATACGAAGATAATATGTGAACTGGGCAATTATAAGGCCATTGTCAATGTCATGGTCATGGTCACAGTTTATGAGATAAGTATTAAATATAGCAGTTCTGTTTTTGACAGATGTTTGAAATTAAACTAAATGTATATTAAATATTGCTACAATAGTATTTATTTTGTTCTTTATGGTTTCTTGCTGAATAATAGCAAGTAAAATCAGGTGATTAGGATAACCTATAGTCTTGCTTTGTCAAAATAAGTGGATAACATATCACCATAAGTAAAGGTAATAACTCAACCATTTACCGTACTGTTTCATACTTTATCACTATTAGCAAATAGCAGCGATTTATACTTAATATCCAAACTTAGTTTATAATCAAAATTAGATAATATCAGTTTGTTTATAGAAAAACATTTGTTAGTTGACACTAAATTAATTATGTGACTAACATAACAACTTCAACTTATGGAAAAAGAATAATGTAATTTGATGACTATTTTACTCTATACTTGTTTGAAACGAATAGGACTGAATTCAACATAAAACGGAAAAAAATCATTTCAAAAAGTAATAATCGAATTCGCATAATATTTGCAGGACCAAGTTTTGCATTTACGATTATTAGTAACGCACAGTAAATTGAAGAAAACAAATAATAATAAAAGAAACACCTTGTATAAAGAATTTTGCTGCTTTAAATAAACGTCTTACACCACATTTCTAATAAAGGTCGAGATGCTAAGCATTACACACGTTTAATGCGATAATGTATGAAATTCTTTGTTTTCAGATCGGACCACTTTTGTAATTTTGAACATTTGCATTATTGAATTGATAACAACGGAACAATTAGTTGCCCTAGATGTCGTACGCAGTATTCGTATCTCGTTATAAGACATAGTTGACAAGTGTAATGCTCGATGGGTACATTAACACTTCAAGGTATTATCAAATATGAAGAGACTGCCTGGCAGGTCTTAATATTCCTTATACAGTTTAACTTAACATATAAATTTCTGATCAAATATCAAATCATTCCTCAATACAAAAGCTAAAAATTATGAACGAAAAATTCCATTTTCAGTAGGTAGTATGTATATATCATGAACCGTCAAACAGGATTTGTCTGCTAGCTAAATCTGAAAATAGTGAAACATCACATCATTTCAACATATATATCTTAGTATTATGTTATGGAAATAAAAGACGAATGAACGTGAGCGTCAGGACAACGGCATCGCAGTTACCACACATCTAAAAATGGGGTATATTAAACAATTTCTTAAGAAACTCTTTGATTAATGTCATGTGTTTGTAGTCATTACTTTTCTGTCGATATATGACAATAAATTTATCAATAAATGCAATCCTTAATTTTCTGCTCAGTGATTTCTTAACTGTTAGTTTGTGTTTTCATCGAATTTCTTTTCACCATTTTGTTTTTTGTTTTCTGATTGTCCCATTTGGTATTTAATGTCTTTTTCAAATTTAAGTTATGTAGATATACTTGAGCCATCTATTCTTTAAGGAACGTCTGTTTGTCTGTAGATGTTTACAGATCGGTAACGTGGTGTTTTTTAATTACAGTTTTATTCATGACGTTGATCTGCAGTTTTATGTTTTTATTTCGTCACCATTTACAAGGATAAGCCGTTGTTTATGAAGGAAAATGATTAACAATTATGTATTTGATGTTTATTGTTTAACAAGATGAAGTAATGTCTATTGATTTATGAAGTATGAATGGATTTATGAGTTTTCTAAAGACGAGGAAATGGAAAACCTGTCTTTGTTATTATAAAATATTTCTGTAATTATTGAAATGTAGCAGATTGTCGATGATTTTTCTTTTAAAAACTCTAAAAAATATAATGAACTGTCATATATAGAAACTTTTTACAAATAAAGCTGACGTTGAAAATTTAAGAATGAAAAGTTTACTTGAAAGTCATTTTGAAACAAATTTAGATGAAGAACAGCTGCCTCTGCCCTTGCACAATGATGACTTACAAACATTTAACGTTTCTTGGTAAAAACATTTACGTTTCATAGTAAACACTTTTACTTTCTAAGTAAACATTTTACGGATGCGTCTGGTTAGCTGTAATGTCGTTTTAAAAGTCAATGTAAAGGCAGTCACATTGCTTGTTGCTTGTACTTGATATTTCTGAACAATTTTTGTTTTAAACTGATGTAGGTTTTTCAAAGAAATGTCATATAAGAATTAAGAAAAAGCTTTTTTTTAATTTTCTATTCCCAGGTACATTACTTCGTTTCAAAGATCATAATTTGTAATCAAATGTATTTACCTTTCCTGTTTGTAGCATTAATATTATGTTGCTTTCATGAGTTATTAGTACTTAGATATTATAAATCAGTATAATTCCAATAAGTATAGATATCAAAATCGCAAAAATGATTCCTACTGTGAATTCAATTGATTTTCTTCCAGACTTGAATCTGCCTACAAGTTTACTCCCTTATAGTTTATTTACTGACTATTAAACTGGATGAAATATTTTAAAAAGTAGTTATATGAATAATATGATAAGTGGGTATTTTTTAATATCGTTTAAAAGAATCACAATAGACTCACAATAGACCATACAGTAAAAATAAGAACAGACAAAGTAACTTACTCTATAAAACCGGAATATAAGATATAAAAACACTTAACATATGTGAACAAGCACATCAAAATCAAAATATCATATCAAAGAATCCTTGAAATTGTTCAAAGAAACTTCTAAATTCTTAAGCCGGCTTTTCAAAATTTTAATCCTGGTATCTAGGATGAGTTTATTTGTATGAAATCATGCCGTCCGATTTTATTATATACTTGGGAGTAGATTCCATACATCATTGTCATAAACAGGAAGACAGAAACTGCGCAATGTCTTGAGTAAAGCTCCAAATAATCCTAATGCAGAAAAATCTAAAAAAAAAAACAAAAAAAAACAGAAACATATCGTCCCATCTCAAACTATGAATCATCGTATTGTTTTAACTAAGGAAACCTTATATAAACACCATACAGGATGAATAAAACTTCCCAACTATAATCTTTATATATTTACACATATGTATAATAATGTTGACTGCTGTACCCCAATTTTTGACATTTTTACCTTTTC